TGCCAAGCAAAAAAAGCCAAGCCCCCGCAAAAAAATGTCAGCCCCCTCAAGAAAAAAAATGCCAAGCCATGTCAAGTCATTTCAAGCAGTGATTTCAAGCCATGTCATATAATTTCAAGTGAAGCCCCCCGTCCCCCCAAAAAATGTCAAGCCGCCCAAACAAAAAAGTCAAGCCTCTACCCCCAAAGAATTTCAAATCAAGTCCCCGCCAAAAAAAGTCAGGCCGCCTCGAAGAAAAACTAACTCAGGCTGCCTAGCATGTTTACCTATTTGAGCCAAATATTGTTTACTGTTGTAATCTTCATACTTCACAAATTCACATTGGCTTCTAAGTATATGTACATATTTTAATGTGAATGTAAAATTATAAAACCTTATCCAGTAACTAAGAACCAAAGAGTCTTGTGTTGGTGGTGTAGAAGGCAGGTCTCACTTGACTCGTAGGCTTTCGGTTCACGCAGACACCCTTTTGCTGGAGGTGATGACGGTGTAGCTGAGGTTTTAAAATTGGAGAAAAATATGCTGTGGGTAGTGCTAAGTTCATCTAGTCTCCTTATGAGTTGAAATTGTTGTCTGACAAAAATAATAAACTTTGTGGGGGGGGTTGTTTATTTTATTATTATTATATTTTTTTAGTGAAGAAAAAATGTGAAGCTCTTCCCGAGCTGACAGTTTCGGCTGTCATTGCAGCTTTCGCCTGACCGGTCAGTGTCAAGGCTGCAAACCACCCCCACCCCTCCTGCCTCCACCGTAAAAGAATTGTGTCAGAATTGATGGCACCATCTCAAACGAGCGCGGTACCACGTTCTCACACATTGGGGACGTGTAATGGGAATTTGACACATAACAGCGCTAAATAGAAGTAACTGTTCATACTATGAATGCTCTCCAATTATTTTGCGGTTAAGCAAAGGTACGGTCAGCATTCAAAAGTTGCATTACTCTGTGTAGCTGCTCAAAATGCTGATTGTGCTGGCCTTCACCACCTCCCAACAAGATAAAATGAGAGCACAAGACGCGGAGGGGGAGAAGGCTCCCTTGACATATCTGTGAACGGTGTACCTCCATGTTTTTTCCTTTTCTTTTTCTTTATTTAATAAATCTCATTTTTGGATAAATACTTTCGTTGTCTTAGTTTGCCTGAACAAGACAGACTCATTGCTTTAGAGGGCATTTTTATTCTGAAAAGAATCATCCCAGGTTGGATCGATCCATGCAGCTGCGCTAACAGGTAACTAACTACAGGTCGAACACAAATGCCACGACTGAGCAAAAATGCAATACAGAACAGATTGCTGCAGCTCACAGTGATGTTTAACAACGATGGGCAGTCTTGTAGCCACCACCACCTGTCCCATCTCATGACATCAGGTTTTGGACAGATGGGTTCCAGGTTTGGCTGCCGTGCGCAGATCCGATGTTGCTCACCGTGGTCCAAGGGATGCTCAAGGAGTTTAGCTAAATGCTCAGACGCATGGAAAAGAGGGAAGGTTGGTGCCGTCGGTCCACAACAACATGAACAAGATGACGTTGGCGCTTATTTCACTGTGGTTTAACATGAGGCTTTCTGATCCTTGGTGGGACGTTTGTCAGGGTTCACCGCTCGTCACGTCCAGCTACCATGACTCCATCTTGTCCTATCACAAGTCCAGGTTCCCTCCTTTCGCCACCTTGAGAACGTTATACAGAAAATTTTGCCACAGAACACATTTCCTGCTCTCTTCCAGAATTATAATCGTTCACTCCATCCTCATACGACTTGTCATTTCTGCAGGTAATCTATTCCTGGAAATAAAATGTTTTGTTCATTTGTTTTTCCTCTGCTACCATATACTTTTGAACGTGTTCTGAAATTTGTTGGTACTGCGATATTCCAAACAATCTTGCATGTAGCAAGTGTTTTATTGATTGAATTGTTTTTTAATTAAATAAAATAAGGGTAGCCTGGTGGGCCAGTGGCAAGTGCGTCGACCTCACAGTGCAGAGGTACCGGGTTCAATTCCAGCTCCAGCCTCAATGTGTGGAGTTTGCATGTTCTCCCTGGGCCTGCGTGGGTTTTCTCCGGGTACTCTGGAATGTGAGAGGAAACCGAAGAAACATGCATGGCAGGCTGATCGAACACTCTAAATCGGGGGTCAGCAACCCAAAATGTTGCAAGAGGACAAAAAAAAAAACCCCCCAAATATGTCTGGAGCCGCAAAAAAATAAAAGCCTTCTATAAAATTTACATACAGCATGTGTTTCCTTCATTGTATATAGGAGACTGGACTGTCTCAGAATTGTTTGTGAACACTCAACAAAGGAATGAATAACAAACGCCCCCCATCAAATTTATTTTGTGATTTCCTCGCATGATTTTATTTTATTTTTTTTGGTGCATTATTTTTTTCTTAGTGTCAGTGAAGTGATCATGAATTTCCATTTTTTGGAGGCTGTCTTTGAACGCCTCTTGAGTTGAATGAGAAGAGAGAAGGCACGGAGTCGGACGCAGACATATCTGTGGTTTTTTATGCTTTTGACAGTCTCAACAGAGTGTACATTTTAAAAAAACCAACACCACAGCTGTCCTTTTTCGGAGCTGCAACATGTATCTATATCTATTTGAGCTATATTAGCCGACTATCAAAATCTTTTTCCATTTTCAAAAATTTTTCATAAAGCTCCAGGAAGCCACTAGATGTCGCTAAAGAGCCGCATTCGGCTCTGGAGCCGCGTGTTGCCAACCCCCGCTCTAAATTGTCCCTAGGTGTGTGTTTGTGTGTGTGTGTGTGTGTGTGTGTGTGTGTGTGTGTGTGTGTGAGAGAGCCCGGATGGTTGTTCATCTCCGTGTGCCCTGCGATTGGCTGGCAACCAGTTCAGGGTGTCCCCCACCTACTGCCCGAAGACGGCTGGGATAGGCTCCAGCACCCCCCGTGACCCTTGTGAGGATAAGTGGATCGGAAAATGGGTTTCATGCATTATTGTTATTTTATCCATCCATCCGTTATGTTGTGCCCTTTCTTATAGCTGTTCTATCATTCTCAAAACAGCTGCAAAGGGCTGTATTGTATTTTTCATGTTTTGTTTGTAATTATTTGTATGAGTTCTAGCTGGATTGGAGGGTGTTTCCCTCCAGCGGCGCACCTGTCTCGAATCATGATAAGCCTTGTCTAAAAAAGCGCTTGTGAAAGGCAAGGAAACAAAAATCAGCTCGACAGATGGAGAATTATTTCTTTTTACGACGAACTGAGAGTAGATTTACACAACAAAAATGCTAACTCTCAAAATGAGAAATCGAAGCTGAGTAGACGTTCTTTAGCTACGTGGCATGAACCAGAAAGAAGTCAACACTGGGAGACAAAGACTGCAGGGGAAGCTCAGCTCAGTCATGTTTGATCACTTAGGAGGATAGTCAATGACAGAGCTTCCCCTGCAGTCTTTGTCGTCATGTTTGATCACTTAGGAGGATAGTCAATGACATGTACACACATAAAAATGCATGCCTTGCAAGAGTTCAGGTCTTAATTGTATGTACACACATTTTTTTATTTCATTTTTATTTCCTCTCTGATATATAGGCTAATTGGGACCTGGTGAGTGTAAAAACAAAGAATAATCATTTTACATGATGTGACGTCCTCGTAAGTGGACGCCAGGCCCTTGTAGTCCAAAATTTAACATTGGACATGACGTTTTGGGTTGTCAAGACTAACCTCCTGGGACCTGGCGTCCACATGTGTGTAAATATGCGGTACAATGCGCTCAACTTTTGTTCCGAATCAGCTTCTTATTACTGGTTACGCAACTCTTATTCATTCTCGCAACTTCACTGTGCTTTCAACTGTGTGGACGCTGAGCGTCGACCACGCAGACGCTGGACGCTCAGCATCCAGAGAGTTCAGTGTAGGTTGTCCCAATGCATTGAAACGAGACGAGTCATTGGATAAATGAGCGTCCAATGGGCGGGACAGAACCAGCAGCGTCTCTGGGAGTCTATGGACAGTGGGCGTTTATCGGCTGGCCAGGAAGCTCAGCTTTCTGCATGATGATTGGATGATCTGTCTGAGGCTGAATCACTTTTTGATTGACAGCGAAATGAGCCAATCACCGATCTTATGGTGAAGGGATCATTTTCATTTTTTTGAAAAGGAACGGAGAGTAGAATTCACGTATAAATAAACGGACACGTTTCATGATGTACAGTGATCCCTCGCTATTTCGCGGTTCGTTTATCGCGGCTTCAGTGCATCACGGATTTTGTCAAACATATTCATAATTTTTTTTCTTTTAATTTCATATACATAGAGCAACATATACAGTACTGTACTACATGTGACTCGCTGTTTTGCTGACTTTCGCAGCTTCTCGCAGACCGTTTGCGGACTTGTATATGATTTTTTTTTTTTATGTTTACTAATCGATTTAAACATGTATAAGTTAGGTTAGTTTATGAATAACAAAATACAGTATACAGCATTAAGTCAGGTCAAGTACTTCAAAATTGACTTTTAATGGTATACATGCATGTAGATTTGGCCTTATAAATATTATGTACATGTACCTATATGGAGGGGGGGGTCGCTACTTCGCGGATTTTCGTTTATCGCGTGTAATGGGGACCAAAACCACCTGCGATAAACGAGGGATTACGGTAGGCCGAAATTGAGCTTCCCCTCCTTGACACACCAGCATCCGCCACTGATTATACACACACACACACACACACACACACACACACACACACACACACACACACACACACACATACATACACACAGTTTTTAAAAAAAATGACAATTTATGCAAATTTAGTATAATTATGTGTAGAATTTTGCGGATTTGCCTGCTCCCACCCCCAAATTCCCCCTTGTATGAATAGAATCATAAACGGCCTAGATGCAACATATTTATATTTGTATTGCCTTGGTCATCAATCTATTGATTGTGAGACTGTATATAAACTATAGGAGTATTTCGATTTTGTTACTTATTAAAAAAAATAAAAAATGCTTGTCTCAGACTTCAATGACTCCAGTGTGTTTATTTTTGCAATTGGGTCAAATTAAAACATGAAAACAATGACATGAGAGTGTTCCAATGACCACGCTTGCTTTTTTTCTTTTTCTTTAGACAATGTTAAAGACGGTAATGACAAAATGCCCTTGTGATTAGTTTTGTCAAATAAAAAAGAAAATCTTGATCTTTATATTTAAAAATGTCTTTAAAAAGTCAGATGTAAACAATGTGTAATAGAATGCACAGCTGAACCTAGATGCACCAGACACAAATAAACAAATATCAACAGAAGTAAAAAGAAAGCGTAAAAAGTAGAAACTGAGTGAATGTGCCCCTTAGGCATTTGCACCGATACGAATCCCAGTCAGTGCAGCTGTCTGGGATAAGAAGGCAATATTGCATTTGAGTAAAGTAGGTGACAATGTGTCACTTGTCATCATCTTCTCTTCTGCCCTAGACATCCTCTTCGACGTCTTCATCGCCAGCATCTTCTTCAACATAATCACTCCATCTGCCATAAACGTCCGGCTCCTCCTCCTCGAGACTGCCTCCGTACAACGGCTCATCTTCCACTAACTCTATCTCTCCAACATCATTATCATCCGGTTCATCATCATCTTCATCATCATCGTCGTCATTATCATCATCATCATCTTCATCATCATCCATGTCGCCATCCAGGTCTACTTCTACCCCACACACCTCTCCTTCTTCCATCTCGCCATCCTCGCTCTGACCCTTGGAGGACGTTGGGCTGGAAAACGCTTTCTCTTCAGTCTCGTCTGTGAGGTAAGACCCGCTGGAGGGGATGAAGCTTGAGGTAGCCGTCTTTGTGTTTATGTAAAGACGAGGAGGAGCAGGAGGAGGAGGCTTCCAAGTGGCTGAGCCAGCCCGACCACCATGTGAGGCATCGGGGGAAGAACCTACAGATCCTGCAACTGCAGAAACAGCTGGCGCAGCAAAGAGCTTTGAGGCGGTCGCGCCTGGCACGTATTCGCGGATCTCGCCTGGTTCCAGGGGGTCGGGCCCGCAGGGGTCATGCTCACTGCAGGACAGCTTGCCATCCAGCTTGGAGATGAAGAGCATGCCATCGAGATGTGCTTTGCAGAATGAGCTGGGGCACATCTCACAGAATGAAACCGCTTCTCTACTGCAGATGTCACACTGGTGCCATGGACACTCCCATCGACCTGAAAATGATATTATGGTCATTTATACTTTTTATTTTGCAATAAGATGACATTGTCATTGAATGGTAAAATACATATTGGTCGAAAATGTAGTTTGCGTTGTGAGCCACAAATTAAGGTAAGGGATGGGAGAGGGTTTACTGCACACATCTAACAGAAGAATAACAGTGCAGTTCATTAGGGCTCCACAATTTATTCAAGTATACGGCTCCAGATAGATTCAGTACTTAAAAAATGCAGTCGATATCATTGTTTCAGGAAAAACGAAGAGTTGAACTGATAAAACCAGAGATTTGTGAAAAATGAGCGATGAAACTCAAATCGCATTATCAAGTGAGGAAAAAAAAAATCTCAAAATTTTTTTGGGGTCAAAATAATTCGGCTTCACTGTTGTACATACAGTAACTACATTCTACATAAAACTTCTTAATAAATACAAATAAAAACACTATTTATTTACATTCTCTTTTGTGTCTTACTGCTTTCATACAATATATTTTTATTTCTCAGACCTCTGTTAATGTAATCAGTAATGAATTCCAGTAATAGTACACGACAGCCAACCCAGTTAACGTTTGAAGACACTACTTGCCTGCAGGTCTCTTGGCCAGGTTGAGACAGTCAGCGTGGTAGACCTTCGGGCAACCGGGCTTCTTACATGACACGATCTGGCCCCCGTCACCGCAGCTGAAGCACTCATCCTCCCTTTCTTTCGTCACCTCTTGCTTGGATTTTTTCTTCATGGCCCCTCTCTTCTTCCCTTCCTTTATTTTTTCCGCTGGTGGCTGGTTCTGAACAAGAAGGACAGTGGAAAGTCATTTTGCAGATCATTGATTAATTTCCTCTTTTCAGGTGAGGTTACAGGTAATCAAGGACACATGTACTGTTCATACCAATCGGTCGTTAACTGTTGTGCGGTTGTTTGGGTAGACACACGACACAATGGAATTACACTACTTGTCCACTTCTGAATTGGATGAGACATTTTTTCCACAATACCATAAAGGGTATGCACCACTGAGCATTTACTGTAGTTTGTGTGGAGAGGCGAGTGTGTGTGCGCATGTGTGCTCAATTGCTATATTTTAAGAACGTCCAGTTCATAATACTGGGGCATATATCATTGATATTTGTTTTTGTTATTTGCTATAATAACAGTGGTTCAGACACATGATATTTTGTGGCACACGGTTTTGTGGTGAAATTCTGCATTCAAGAGAAGCCAAAAAGATGGCAAAAATAATGTTGCAAAGTTTAGCAGTCTGAAGCTGCAAGCTCCTAAACGAAGGACGACTGGTATTAAAAGGAGTTGGAATTTTTACCTTTGGTCGAACACCAAGGAAGCCACTACAATTGGGTGCTCCACATTTACAGGCCGTTTTGCCATTGCCAAGACACTCGAGGTTGTAGTTGAAAGTTAATTCCACACCTAAAAAGGACACCTTCTGTCAGTACATGACTCAGTATCATGCAAACTACCACAACGGGTTGCAGATTGTAGCTCAAACCTTTTGGGATGTCTTGCAAAGCAAACAGTCCCACGCGGGTGTCCCCATTCACAGTCCATTTCTGAGTTTCACAATTTGGCTGGCAGCTGTGATTCATGAAGCGAGCCTGATTCCCTTTGGGGCCTGCATCGATGATTCGGTCCTGGCATTGAAAGGCAAAAAAACAAAACATTCACAATCAGAGATATGACTTGTGTTTTGTGATCCATTTATTAGCATTTACCTGACAACTATGCTGTTGCTGTTTCAAACATATGTGTCTCCAGGATCCAAAACATGTAAAATGCTAACACCTTAAAGCTATGTTTCCGCCGAGAGGTACGGTTCAATTTATAGTACATTTTATCATTGAATGGTTTGGATTAGGTGAAGCGTCAACCAGACAGACAGTGTTCTTGTTGCCAGTTAAAGTAAGATGAATCCTCCTCCTATTGTAATTCAGCTACTTTTATTCTTGACTGGTGGTTCCTTCCCATGTCATTCATTTCGTGGAAATCAGAAGAAGAAGGGATTTTTTTTTTTAAATCAAGACAGCAGTGAGCCTATCTCCACAAATATAGTATTCCACAGAAGCAAACTGTATTGCTTGTTGTAATTTAGGGTTATGATTAACTTTTGTGGCCATCGGGGTCAGAATCTTACCTTGTCTAATGTCAGCATGTAGAAGTTAAAGATGTCTTTTTCCTGAGCATATTTGATTCGGGCCCGACATTCTTCTTCATCTATCACCTCGCCCACGTATTCACTCACAAAAGCTCCCTGTGAAGACATATAGTGATAAGAGCAACTAGAAGTGAGAGAGAGAAAAAAAAAAAAACGTGAGCAGTGGCACTTCATTTTGGACCCACCTTCTTGATGTCGGACACGCTGCGCAAGCCCCACCCACGCGACAGTGTCCTGAATATCTCGACAACCGTGTACTGGCGTTTTGTGAAGGTCTGGTTCTGACATCGCTCCCCAGCAGCGCAAACTTGAGGATGGCACTCGTACAGCAGCATGCGATTAATGCACTCCGAATCCACGCCACACGGGTTCTCGTCTGACGCCTTACAGTTGCAGCGTGGGACCTCAGATAAGTCAGCTGTGATGATCTGTACCTTCCCAATTGGCTTGTTGACCTAAGAAGCCAAGACAAGTGATTTGATTGACATTAAACTGCTGGTGACAAAGAAAACACCCATTGAGGAAAACACACCTTAATGTGTTTATATGGAGGAGGTTTCTTATGAATCTTTCTGTCCTCCTGAAGCTGCCTCATTTCCTTTTCGGATTGAAGCTCTTTGAATCTCTCCGCTGCTTCAATCAAGGCTACCAACAAAGACACTATGTTACTGATAACACTCCCAAAAAATGTCGGGTATTCAAAATGCACAAGAGCACATGTTACCCTTTTTATACACAGCGTCGGCCCCCTTGCCCATTTTCTCAATGTTGTGGGTGTCACCCTCCATGTAGGGAAACACACGGGCTTGGTAAGTCCATACAAAATCCTTGGAGCCAAAAAATTGCACCGGGAACTCCCCGACCTCGTGTTTCATCCTCAAGATGTTATTTGGGACATCTTTGGCCAGACACACTTCGGCAGGCCACCACCTAACAAAGCATTTGAGTTAGGTCTCATTTCAGAAATATGCAATCAGCGTCCATTATACTCACAATACTCAACGCAAGATAATCAATGCTTTTAAAAGTACAGATACGTCTACTACAGAATTCATTCTTTCACAGCTCATTCAAATTCGATCACCACCAGAACAAGAGAGAAAGAGCTGACTTTCCAAAACGATTTCTCACCATAAGTCGATATACCATATTGGCCCAAATATAAGACGGCCCTGATTATAAGACGACCCCCTCTTTTTCAAGACTCAAGTTTGAAAAAAGACTTTTTGGACACCAAATTCATTTTTAGACAGAAAATAAGTACAGTACATCTGAAACAAATGATTATAACAATATATTTGAGAGAAAAAGCATTTTATTTTGCCTCATTCAAATCTAAAGTGCAATCACATTCGTAAATGAATGGCTTCTGGTTTTTGAAATGTAAATTACATCATAACTTCTCCTCAGCTGCCGGTTAACCTGGCCGATCTTCGACCCACTTTTCTCCAGATTGTAACGACGTTTCTCCATTTTCTGTTGTCTCTTCTATTATTTTCTTCTCTTTTCCTTCTTACCACTATTTTTTAATTTTTATTCTTTGTGCTACCACTATTTTTATTTTTATTCTTCGTGGCAGGGGTTCACTTTGGCCTGGAGAGTCAAGTTCAGCATTCGCTTTAATGATATCTGGCGCCATCTAGCGTCGTGAATGGGTATAATGTCTAGACCCTGAATATAAGACGACCCCCACTTTTTCAGTCTTATTTCAATGCAAAAAACACCGTCTTACATTCGGGCCAATACATTATAACGTCTTGAAACTTGCTTCCAAAACGCTTGACCGTACCTGTAACGTCCCCATTTGACCCACAGTATGTCCTTGATCCGCGGCCTTTTTCCTGCTTTGCAATCATTGCAGAACCAGCTGCCTTGAGGCATCTCCATATTGAGACATTCCTGATGAAAAGCAGCAGGACAGGCTTCACAGCAAAGCAGGCTGCCTCCTGTAAAACCATAGCAAAAGCATTCAAGGCAACGACTGGATGATGCGGCGTTTTTAACCACGGCTGTTTTTGTTGACTAAAGGCTTTGAACTTTGATTTGAAACGGAGAAGAGGAATATTAAAAGAAAAAGACAAACTAGACCGATCCATAAACAATAGAGAGGAGACATTAAAAAAAAAAAAAGGGAACTACCTTCAGAGCACACGAAGCACCAGCTAACATTGATGTGCTCATGGTTCTTGCAGCCCTTCCGAGGAGTGAAGTGGTTTGGACAAAGAAAACCGTTATTGGCCAGCACCAGGCTGCCGGCTGCCATGCAGTTGTCATTAGCGTGATAAGCTACGGGGCAGCGCACACAGCGAGCCAAACGTCCTGCAAAGCATGAGAACAAAGAGCAATGTATTTATGAATTCAAAGGATTTTTTTTTTTTTTAAATGATCAAATGTGGCTCCAACAACTTTATCATCACAACATTGAGAATACAGCCACATGGGCTCAACCCAGCATCTTACATCACTCTAATATTGTGCTATTTGAGTGGATTTCCACAGCAACATCAGGTTTTTTATGCATGAAATAAAATAAAATAACTGATGGCGTCTGAAAAAAGGTGTCATACTTAAAAGTGGATGTATGGTTTGTATGTATGTAATGGTGCTTTGGAGCTTTATTATACCATTTTACATAGTCATATACTGCAATCTGCTTGAGGTATTCAAATTATTTGATGAAGATAACATTTTATTATTATGAAACCATTTTGAAAAAATTGGCTTGTTTCTGAAATTTTTTAATGATGTAGCAGTCTCACGAATTATCATGAATTTGTTGAAAGGAATGGGAATTTGCAGGAATAAGATGCATGTGCATTTGCAAATTCACACTACACTATCAGCGGGAATCTTGCTTTAATTTGAGAAACATCAATAAAGTATGGAGACCTGAAATGAGTGAGAGGTTGTGCATGAATGACAGGTAAGCAGTTAGGATGAGGACTATATAAATCTTAACAACAACAAACAGCTGGAGATTTTTTTTTTTAATCAAACCATTCCACATATTAATTGAAAGTAAGAATTTTCCATGGATGTCGGCTGAAAACCAAACACTTTCATTGTTATACTTCACACAGTAATAAATATGTAAAAGTTACGAATCCAACTCGAGAGGTTTCCCACAAAACCTCCTATGGAAAGTTTGCAGCTGATGACACAGATTGTGGAAATGGCTAACATTTACAAATCCCCAAACCAGATCACAACATATGAAGCTTCTTACCTTTGGAGCTGCAAGCATTGAGAGGACTGGCAATGTGACACGACAAACAAACGTGTAAGGGGCAGCGGAAGCTTTTGTTATGGCGCTGCGTGGCTGAGAAGGCCATGATGCAGTCAGTGTGATAGAACTTTCCACACAGGGGGATCATACACCGCTTCACGCCGTGACCGGACTTCTTACACACAAAGCACGTGTGAATACCTGAAATTGTAGCATAGGAATATTGTTCATTCACTTCAGCAAAAGCCAACCCAAACCAGTCAAAGCCAACTTAGAAAGACGACGCTCTCACTCACCGGAGGTGCACTGTTGGCAGAGAAATTTTCCCTTGGGCGCTGCAGACAAACCAATACACTGTGGGTGAAAGGCTCCATAACAGTGGCCGTCACATACCAGAAGGTCTCCTGTCCTCTCACACACCTACACAAAAGAATCATCAAATCAAGGCCATGCACCACCACTTACGAGTAAAGTGTCTCCCTTTTCCTACACACATCCGGCCGGCATTTGTCAAAGTGAATTTTGAATACGCTTTTTTTTTTTTTTCATTTATGATTGCTAAGAATATTCCAAAAAAATTTCCCACAACCACGAGCCACATCCTGGTTTTCCTTTTATGACAACTGTCATTTTGATGAACTATTGGTGTAGCAGTGGCTGAAGAAAAAAAGCCAAACAAATTGGGAGGAGGGTTCTAGTTAAAACTCATTCAATGCCACAGACATTTTTTCTTTTTTCTTCAAAGAATCCAGGCATTCAATCCCAGGTACATCTTTATTTACTTAAAAAAAAATCAAATGGAAGGGTAAAAAAGGGTGTGAAAATTCCGGGCGCTGAATGAGTTAATATATTTTAAGAGCACCATCTCACCTGGCAGACATTCTCCTTAAAGGAAACAACACCTATTTTCCCTTTGACATCCACTTGGGAACATGGGCTGTCCATCAAACTGGCATCAAGCACCTACACAAAATTAAGACAGAACCTTCATCTACGTGAAGTAACAGATGGACACCTGCTATTCTAAGTTACGGATATGACGTGAGCACCTCAGCTTTGGGAGTTTCGGTGTCTGTGTCATGTTTCTCTTCAGGGCTGCAGGGCATCAACTTGGCCTTCGGCTCTGGGGACTTGTTCGGAATGACAACCTTGACATCGTCAGCCTCAGAGGTTGGAGTGGTGGTAAAAGGTACGGAAGATGTGCTGGGAGCAGATTTCTCTTTCTTTACAGGCGCAAGCTGTAAAAAGCAAACACATTTTATTCAAGATTACTTAAACATCCTGTATAATGAACTTGGTAGTAGTTGTGACAAATACTGACCAGATGTTCCTTAATGTTAAGCTTCTGCGGTATCACAGTTTTCTCAACCAACACTTTCACTTCAGAGAGAACGTTCAGAGGGTACTTTGGCTCCTGTGTGAAGATACAACATTAAAAAAACACAATCAGACTGGAACTTCCAAGAATGGTCCTGGTCATAGAAATCTGGTCACATCATCCTGTTGACCACATGAAATGATCGATCTCAACAGCAGAATTATGTGATATAACAACAGAGCGAAGCATGTGTTCCAACGTCAGTCTCAGTCAGGGGTGCCCAACTTTTTTTGACCAAAGATTGACTTTTCAAGAAACCAACCTTTGGCGATCGACCCGCTACCGCACGTGCACACATGCCATGATGAGAAACAGCCAAAGAGGCCCCGAACATGAACGAAACAGAAAAATAAAGTCGATACAAGAGTTTGTAAGTTTCTAAGAAGGAATCAGTGCCCACCTTAGTCGAGACCTGATGTGGCGGCATGGGACGCACCAGAGGCGATTGCTCTAAGACTGCAAGGGAAGCACGGCTTCCCCTAAAACGTCCAAAAATTAGTGATCAAATACATGTGTGTACAAACAATTGTGTGTACATGTCATTGACTAAATATGCGCTACAACGCGCTCAACTTTTGTTCCGAATCAGCTTCTTATTACTGCTTACGACGTGACTCTCTTCTCATTCATTTCCGCAGCTTCACTGTGCTTTAAACTGTGTGGACGCTGAGCGTCTACAGCGTGGACGCTGGGCGTCAAGAGAGTTCAGTGTCGGTTGTCCCAATGCATTGAAACGAGATGAGTCATTGGGTAAATGCTGGTTTTGTCCAGCCCACCGGACGCTCAGCGTCTCTGGGAGTCTATGGACAGTGGGCGTGTATCGGCCGGCCAGGACGCTCAGCTTTTCTGCATGATGATTGGATGATCTGTCTGAGGCTGAATCTCTTTTTGATTGACAGTGAAATGAGCCAATCACCGATCTTTTGGTGTAGGCATCGTGGGAGCATTTTTCAATTCTCATTCTGTTCTAAATTGAACTGGAGACTTCTAATCATCTGAGCGACACTCTCTTTGTTGAAAACGACTAGCGACGAATTAATCTTTTATTTCTGATGGGTTTTATTGTAGTTGCTGTAGTT